CCGCATGGTTTATTTTTACCATTTGGTACCTGGTCAAGAAAAAAACCATGCGACAAAACCGTGCCAGGGTTGCAAATTAGGCTCCGCCCATTTTTCCTCCCAGGTGGTTCTTCCCACTTTTTCTTTTCCTCCCAGTTGGTGTGCTCTCATATTTTGGGTTACGGTAGTTCCTTAAAGGCGCGTATACGCAAAAGCTGTTTTGAGTCCCGCCACGATTATTGCGATTTTTGTTGATTTTTTGAATTTTTTGCTATAAAAACCCAAGAAAAAAAAAGAAGAAAAGCTAAGACACTGAGAAAATGTGTGAGAATCTGTTAAAAACATCGAAAACCGCCCAAAAATCGCCATGAAAAACCAAACTACTGTAGCTTTTTTAAAGGGACACACCAGCAAGATAAAGTTGGGGTTTCGCAACGAAATCAAAATTCTCGAACTTTTAGCGGTTTTCACCGATTTCAAAGCGAATTTTCGCCATTTTCAGCGTATTTTTCAGGCGGAATACCAAAAAATGACATCACCTAAACTTCTGAAAATTCAGAAAAAACAAACTTCTGACTCTTCGATTCGTCAGAATTCGTCAGAACATCGAATACAAACAAATCTGTACCCGGAAATTCTAAATTCCAAGTAAAATAGAGACAGAAACGGCATATCTAGCCGAAAAATCTAAAATCTCCTCACATTTCGAGAAAGGGAAATTGGGAAATTGACCCAGATTTCGATAAGCGAATGAAATGAAAAGGGGAATTATGGTAGAACTGCCTTGCCACGTGGATTTTTAGCACCAATTTCAGTAAAATGTATACTCAGAATTGAAAGATTTTTCAGCTTTGTATAGCGAAGTAAAAAGAAATCTCGAGAAGCGAAGTAAAAAAAGTGGGCGGAGCCTAGGAATTTTCGTCGGCTCACTAACTCAACAACAGGTGGAAAGAGCCAAGCCAACCGTTAATTATTTTTCGTTGGTTGGTTATATATGTAGTTGTGGCTATATACGCCCACGGCCGGCTCCGTTTCTATGGGTTACCTAAAATTTATTTTCTCCTTTTTTCTTTTTTTCGTAGAAACGAAAGAAAAGAGAAAATTGGAAAAAGTAACATAACAATACACAATTGATTAGGAGTGGGGAACAAGGGTGTTCAATAGAGAGAAATATATGTGGAATATAATGCAAATTGACCGCATAAAAAGAGAGATGAGTCATTGTGGTATACACTATCTCTGGGAAGAGAAGAAGAAGAGTTTTTATCATACTCTACAGAGAAATAGATAAGAAAGAGACATGTATTTACATAATAGTAAAATGGGTTATAATGGGAAGAAATGGGTGTGAACTAATATAGAATTTCTCAAGTCTCTTGGAGATAATCTTGAAAATTAATGGGGAACAAGTTATGGGTGTTTGAAAGTTTTGAATTTTCTAAAATTCGAAAAACTTGTAAATTGGAAATTTTAGAGAAATTTTGCTCGATTTCAAAATTCGGAAAATTTTCTAGAATTTTTTAGACTAGTATTTTTTAAATTTGCGATATGAATTTTTCTTTTTCCGAATTTTTATAAAATTTTGAGTTGCGAGAACCTCGAATGACTAATGACTAATGAAGTTTTTGTAATTCTGGACATTTTGAAACACATTTTTTGAAAATTTTTAAGATTCAAAAATTTATTGAAAGTGAAAAATTGAAAATTAAGAAATCTCGATTTAAAAAATGTCTTTTTGGAATTTACGAAATTACAACAGCTTAAAAATTCCTAGAACGTTTAAGGGCGAACCTCAGGACCACAATACTTCAACGTCCTAATGTACACTTTGTGAAACAGATTTTTTTCACTATTTTCTATTTTTTCAAATTCCAAAAATTTCCAAGAACCTTTAAAAAGTAATTCAGAAGTTCTTGAAAATTGTTTAAAAACTATATTTTTTTAAATTTAATTTGAATTTAAATATTCAGATTTTAAATTTTTTCCAAGAATAAAATTCTAGCGATTATGTAATTTCTCAAACTACCGAATGTGTAAAGAAAAAATATATGACTGATGAAGATTTTTGTTTTTTGGGCATTTTGAAACAGTTTTTTTTGAGTATTTGCTTAATTCAAAAATTTCCAAAAATTCTGGAAAAAACTCTAAAGTTTTAATTAATTTTTTTTCTATTTTTGAAAAAAGTATGGTGGATAGATTATGAAAATAATGAAGATTTCGTAATTCTGGTCATTTTGAAACACTTTTTTTCGGAAAATTCATAATTTTTCGAAAAAAATTTGAAAAGTTGCGGAAAATTAAAAAAAAAAGATTTTGAAATTCGAAAAATTCTGAAAAAATGGAATGGATGTCTAACCAGAAAAATAATACCACAACAACCTAATATTCATGACCTGAAGCTGATTTTTTGTTCTGAAATTCCTAAATGTTTCAAAATTTTTAACTTGCAAATAAAAATTTTTAAAAACGATTAAAGTTTTGAAAAAAGTTGATTTTAATAGATTTTTTTTTAAAGCCCACAGTATCAAATTTTCAATTTTTTTCAGAAAAACATTGTTTGAAAATTGTAACAAAATTTGGACCATAGCAACATGATTATATGGACAATCAAGGCTGTGCCACGGCGGCCGGCTTTGACTAGGCCTGAGAAAGCCGCGGCCTCAGACGCCTTAAGACGAAAAGCATCGGCCGGCCGCGGCTTTCTCGGCTTTGGATTGAAAAGCCGCGGCCGGCAGCCACTTTGCACAGCCTTGCGGACAATGAACATTTTTGTATTATAGACATTTTGGATTACTTTTTTTGCGAAAATTTTTAATTTTCAAAAAAGGTATAACTTGAAAAAAATCAAAGGACGAACCAGTAAAAAACTGGATTGAATCGCGCCGAAGGCGCACCATCTTGCTGGTTAAATATAACAATGTTGGTTTATGTATTTATTATTAAAATCTGAATTTTTATTTCTGGATTGTATTTTTTTTTCAAAAATCCTTCTAAAAAAGGTGATTTTTGAAAAAAAAAATCATTCAACAACTTCGTGGATCGGAAACACAATACTACAACATCCTAATACCCATATTCTGAAACAGGTTTTTTCAGGATTTTTGGAATTTCATGAAGTTCTGAGAAGAATATATGACTAATGACGCTTCTGGTATTCTGGACATCTTGAAACACTTTTTTTTTGAGAATTTATAATTTTTAAAACATGGCACGATTTGCAAAAATTGGTAGTAAACTTATGGAATTACGAAAAAGTTAATTTTTTAAAAACAAATTAATTTTTTTCTATTCGAAAAATGTTTAAGAAAATAAAATTAATCTGAACACAATACTACAACATTTTAATATTCACAATGTAAAACATGTTTTTTTTTCAGAAATTTTGAAATTTCTAATATTTTAATTTAACAAAACGTTTGAATAAAAAATTATAAAGTTTCGAAAAGTTGATTTTTCAAAAATTGTGATTTTTCAAAGCCGAAAATTTCGAATTTAAATACTTTCAGAAAAGTATTTTTAGAAATTTGTCCAATTTTTGACAATTTTTTATCAATTCTGAAATTACAAAAAATGAAAAAAAAAACCAACATTTCAAAGCTTCTAATTTTGAGAATCAAAAAAATGTGAAACATTTTACACTGTTTTGTAGTGTTTTCAAAATTTAGGTGATGTTCTTTTTTTTCCGATTTTGAACTCTTTCCAATTTTAAAATGTTTTCCAGGATATCCCAAAGCATAATGCCCTTCATATAACGTAGTTTTTTTCCTGAAATTCCAGTAAATTCTGAGTTACCAATAATGACATCATCATTCTTTTATTCCCTCAATTTATTTATTTTAATAAATTTCTGACCCAAAACTTTTCCGGGTCAATTTCCACCCACTATTCAGAATTCAATGGGAAAACTCTAAATACGACAAAAGTTCAGAGAAATGACATCTTTCTGTGAATATTATATACATTTATCCAAATATTGAAATATATAGAATATCAATCCATCATTTTTCTTCTCTTTTCAAATAAAAATCCATGGACCGTGACCTGGAAATGGGGGAGAAGAGGAGGGGAGATATGAAGAAGCTTTTTCGGATGGACCATGATCATCAGTTTAGAGAATGCTTCACTTTCCGTATTTTTGGCGAAAAATTGTCTTGTTGAGTTAGGTATGGCCTAACTTTCTCATCATGAAATTCTAGGCCATCAAAGTTACTAGAAACAGCCTAACATTCCCTTGATATGTTTTCTAGGGTATTTTCCAAGGTGGCCTAACTTTATCAATGCGAAATTTCTAGTCCCCCAAAGTTGCTGGCCAAGAAAATGGCCTAATATACACCTGATGTGTTTTCTAGGTCATTTACCATGATGACCGAACTTTTGCAAGTTGAGTTTTCTAGGCTACTACGGTGAATGGCTTAGAAAATTCTAACATCCAGCCGGTGTGATTTTCCGGTCGTTCACCAAGATGGCCTAACTTTCTCCACGTGAATTTTCTAGGTCACTATAGTGGAAGACGCAGAACCTAGCTAAACATTCCCTTCGTGTGTTTTCTAGACCATTTACAATGATGGACGAACTTTCTCAACGTAAGTTTTCTAGGCCACCAAAGTTACTGGAACAGCAAGGATCTAACGAAGTGTTTTTGAACCATTTATTATGGTGACCTAGAAAATCCATTTTGAAAAAGTTAGGCCACCAAGGTAGATGACCTAGACAACACATCAGTTTTATGTTAGGCCATCATGGTAAATGACCTAGAACACATTGAGTGGATGCTTTTCGTTAATTTCAGATTTCTGGATAATTAGAAATTTTCGGGCTTTTCCGCAAAAAGTTTGTAATTTAGCACCTACCTGGCTCAATTTTTTTGTTAAATTTCTTCCTTGGAATTTTTGAAAATTTCGAGTTTTTGAAATTTCGACAAAATTCTAAATTTTTTAAAGTTTGCATTTTATAATAATCAAATTGTAATTCAAATTGTTCATATAATTTTGAAACGTTTTATGAACTTTTTCAATTAAAAGTTCTAAAATTTTTTCAGAATAAAATTTGAAAAAACATATCGAATTTCAGATTTTTGGCTCAAAACTTGAGCGAAAATGCGAAATTCGAAAAATTGAAATCCCAAAAAATTTGATTTTCAAAGATTCCCACAAATTAAAAATTTTTTCGAAGTTTCTACTTCAAACTGAACAGATTGAATTTCGAATGAAAATTGTTGTAATTTGCCATATACGAAACAGGGACTTTTTCAGAAAATGTGCACCTAAATTTTCTGAAAAAGACTCTAATTGTAAGACTCCTTTTTCAGACCTACGTGAGAATTAGGTGATTAAATTTTGAAAAAGACAAGGAAGTCCTAAAAAAGACTTCCTACTTTTTTTTCAATTCTTCAGTCATCACCAATTATGAAATTTTTAGAATCTAATTTTTTCAAAAATTCCGCAGAATGGAATTTTTTAAAGAATTGCAACATTTTTTTTGAAATTTTTCCCTCTGGAAACAATAAGTTTCTTCCCTCCAATTCGTCATTCTACCTCTATTTTTGTGACATTCCTCCTGCAAAAAAATTAGTTCAAGAAAAAATAATAATACCCAAAAATGTGTGTATTGTTCTGAAAATTCAGTTATAAAGGGGTGAACGAAAATCGTTTTATTATTATTTTTTTTGAAATTCTTGAAAAATTAGTAAGGGTTTTGAAACATTGACGTTTTTCTTTTTTTTTGAAATTTCAAAAATTCAAATTTTGAACTTTTTAAAAATTTAGCTTTTTTGGAGAAATTTCAATATACCTATTCAAGATTTTTCAAAAGTACAGTAGCCTTTTTAAATCAGTTTCAATATTTAAAATTTTGTAATGTTTCAACATCTTCATTTATTCTGTATTAATGCTTAAGTGAAATTCGTCGTTCTGTACAACTGCGCTCTATTTGTAATCTGGCCGAACTTTTCCAATTTCCAAATTTCTAGGCCACCTTGAACAAAAAAGTTTCCAGATGCTTCTACGATCATCATCTCTACTGGGCTCCCTGCTCCTAGTATGCGCCGTTTTGACAGCGGCTCGAGCCTCAATCCTCACAGACTCTCCTCCTCCACAAATTCTGACACGTCAGCTGCGGGTTGGGCGGCAATTTGAAATTTCCAGGGAAATACAAATTTCAGCATTTTCAGAGTTTTCCGTACTCGGTCTCGTTCTACCGTATGCTGGGACACGATCGTCAGTTGCGGCCGTATTATGGTGTCAATGATGAGGTCAGTTGTTGGTCGAGGTGTGAGCAAGGTATGGGCAAGATATGGACAAGACCTTATCCTTGGCCTTGTCCGTGTCCTTGCCTTGGACCGCTCTTGGACCGCCCTTGGTTCGCCCTTGGCTCGCCCTTGGACCACCCTTGGACTGCCCCTTGGACCGCCCTTAGACCGTACTTGGACCGCCCGTGGCTCGCCCTTGGACCGCCCCTGGGCAAGCTATGGGCAAATCATGAGCAATATTTCTTTGCCCATGTCTTGATCAAGCATTGGCCCTAGGCTTAGGTTGTGAACAAGATATGGGTATGACCTTGCCCTTGTCTTGCCTTGCCCTTTCCTTGCCCAACTAAAAGTTAGATGTGCAGGTTGCCGCATTGATCGATTCGATGAACAACAATGATGACGTGGCATCATCATCTGGAGAAGAGGTCTATCCGACGAGACCCAGAAGAAGTGACGGTTTGCGAGGTTCGTTTTATTGGGCAAGGTTCGTAGTTTTGTTTAGTGTGCCTTTCTCGTAGGGGTACGGTAGAAAGTGTAGACAATTTTTTTTTCAAAATTTGCAAAACATTTTATGAATCGATCAGAAAGCTTTCAAGCCTTTGGGAATTTGGGAACTTTTTGAAACATTTTTCAAATTTAAAACAAAAATTTTGAAATGTGTTGTATTCCATCTGAAAGCCCTGGAAGTTTTCAACAAATCTGTGTGATTTTTATTTGGTTAGCTTCTTTTTGAAGCGAGTTACGCGCCTTTTAAATTTCAGCTAAGAGACGCAGAGAAGCGAGAGTGCTCTCGTTTCTCTGCGTCTTTTAAAACTTCAAATCGTCATAACTCGCTTCAAAATTGGTGCAGAAACTAGATTTTTGGTGCATTTTGTTGCAAATTTTGTATATTTTTGGACTTTGTGCCAATGACCCTGAAATGATAGAGGTTTATGCACTGTTTTTGACTGAAAGGGCGGGAAAAGCCTGAAAACTTTCTGTATTAATGAAAAGTGGAACAACTGACAAGACTTTTTCTTTGCAAGAAATTTTTTCTTGACTACTTTCTTCTACAAAAAATTGTGTTTCAAGAATGTCTGAAATTTTTTCAGTGTCTTTGTTTCCAGATGCTCGTCATAAAGATTATTTTTGAAATTCGATTTTCAAAAAAAATGTTTCAAAAAGTTGTCAAGTTCCTAAATTTCAAACAATTTTAGTGACTGAATATCAGCGAAAGTTTGATTTAAACATTTGAAAAGTCCGATCTTATTATTGTTGTCCGAAAAAATTGGAGTTGAGACGCAGACAGTTAATCGAAATATTTCTCTGCGTCTCCACCGACTATGCGCTATTTAGGCTTGTCGCTTCGAGGTGCCTACCGTATTCAGACTGCAAAAAATACTCTCTCGCTCCAATTTTTTCGCACAACAATAATATCAAAACCATTTCAAAAGATGAAGTTTGGGAAAATGCATTTTTTGACATTTTGTGATGAAGTTTTTCTGAAAGCAAGAAATTTGAAACACGGTTATAAATCACCAATGTCAAAATTATAATTTTCCGACAAAAATTAATTTTCTCAAAAAATTGAAATTTTCAGAAATTTTGAGTAAACCAAAAATCCAATGAAATACAAAATTCGCTACAAAACGCACCAAAACTCTAGTCTCTACGACAATTTTGAAGCCAGTTATGAGTTATATTTGAATTTTTCCTATAAGAGACGCAGAGAAACGAGAGCAGTCTCGCTTCTCTGCGTCTCTGCTGACGGATTTTCAAAGACACATAATTCGCTTCAAAAAAAAGCTTGACAAATGAAAACTTCATGGATTTTTTCGAAATTTTTTTGCTTTCATGTTTCTATATTTAAAATAATTGTTTCTTGAAATACATATTTTTTCTCAATTTTGAAAATGTTTCAACAAGTTTCCAAGTTCTTAAGTTTTTTGAATTCGATGTTCCAAAGGTTCTGATATTCTCAAAAAAAAATTAAATTTCGAAGTAATTAATATTCTGAAATTTTAATGAGATTTAAAAATTTTTCAAAAAGTTTCAAAATCCAATGCTCAAATTTTGAAAATTTCAAAAAAACTTCAATCAATGTTCCAAAAAGTAATTTCAAATGTTTCAGAAAGTTTCCAAATACCAAAATTTTGCGACTTTTGTGATGAACTTGACCTATTCAATTTTTAACAATTACAAAAAAAGTTAAATTTTCAAAACAAAACAGTGTTCCAAAAAATTTCTCACAGTGTTTCAAAACTCTGTCAACATGTAAAAATTAAATTAAAAATGTTGTAAACTTGTGTAAATTTCGATTTGTCGAAATTCCGATTTTCCAACAAAACATTAAAGGGGGGGGGGCATGAAAAAAAGTAATGTTCTCGAAATTCCGTTTGAATATGCCCCTCGAGGAGTTGAACTTGTGGGGCCGAGGATTGAGGGTGCGGCGCAGCTACCGACTGAGCCACGCGGGGAAAGAGAAAGCGGCCGCCCGATTGCATACATAAAGGCGAGGACGACAGCTGTACGCAGAGTGACATTAAGCGTTGTACACCGTCACGGTAGAATGCATATCATAACTCCAAAAAACCTCCGAAAAATCTCCTGTCCCCCCACCTTTAAATTTAAAAATATGATTTCGAAAAAAAATATCCTGAAAATTTGAAAACTATGGGATCAATTCGGATTTCTCTTTGGGTATTTCTACAATTTGAAAAGGTTTCCAAAATGTTGAAATTCAAGATTTTTATTCAAATCTTGAAAACTTCAAAAACAAACTTTGATTAAAAAAACAATATTCCAAAAAAAATTTTCAATGTTTCAAAAAGTTTCCAGATACCAAAATTTTGCGAATTTCGTGATCAACTCGAAAATGGGATAATTCTAAAATTCAAAAAATTGAATTCAAGTTTCAACTATTTCAAAACAAAGATTATATATTAAAGCTCAAAAATTACAATTTTGAATTTTTTAATGTTTTAAAACTCTGTCAAAGCTAGAAATCATATTTCTCAAATTATGTCGCTCATCCCCTCAAAAAATCAATTTTTCAGGATACGCCTGCCGCTTCAAATTCTGTAGGATCTACGACGCGTGATTTTTGACAATTTCAATTTTTGATGATTTTTCTTGTTTCTGCAGCGTTTTCCCAATTTTCTATTTTTCAAAATCTCCCATTCTTTTTCAAATTTTTCAATTTTCATCCCCTAAAAATGTCAGTTCGTCTCCCGTTCTTCCCTAAAGCAAACAAATTGTTCTTCTTCTCCTCTCAACGAAAAAATCAATCAAATCAATCAATCAATAAAATATCGACAACTTGTTTATACAGACATAAAATTGTTCTAGAAAATTCCAGAAAAAAGTCTATTGAGCCGGTGATCTTGATCCTTTCATTGATCCTTTCACTTGTTTTGTTGCTCCTTCTGCACTTGTAGCATGAGCCGGTGACTGAGATCCAGGACGTTTCGATTTCGAAGTGGCCGTGGGATTGGCGGCCACGGCCGCGACCGCCTGTTTACTCTTCTTCTCGCGTATCATTGCTTTCTCACTTTGAATCGATTCAATGTCTCTGAAATTGTTTTTATTTATTTGAGATTTTTGATTGCCTAAAAAATTTTTCTCCGTTTCATCGAATCGAAAAGGTTGGAAAACTTTTATGAAAATTCAATCACATCATTTATTTTTAAAAAAATTCTAGTTTCGCTGATTTTTGAAATTTTTTAGAACTGGATTTTGACATTAGAAAGAAGCGGTTCTCAGAAATTAAAAATGATGATAAGAATGATGATATTTAACGCTGAAATAAATTTAAATTTTGCGATTTAAATTTTGTAAAATTAGAAAATTTAAACTCTGATTCCAGAAATATAGAAAATAAGAAACCTCGATGTTTCGAAATTCTTTCTTATCCGAATTGTAATTTTTTAAAAAATTCAAAAGACACATTACTACAGAATCCCAAAAAAATCTTCATATTCTGTAACAGTTTTTTTTCCAGAAATTCAACATTTTCAAAATATGGGAAGAGAAGTTATGAAATTTTTTTTCAATTAATCGAAAATTTCAAAATTTTCCAAATTCCTAAAAAACTAACACCAAGATTCTTTCATCAAAAACTCAAATTTAAAAAATTATTTTCTTCAGTTTCAACGAATTTATAAAATTTTGAAAGTTCTACGAAAACTCAATCCATTGAAAATTCAAAAAATTCAAAAAAAACTAACGCCAGCGTTCTCTCATCCGACTTATCAGCCAATGGAATGTGTGGAGGTGGTACACCGACCGAAAAATCGTCATTCAATGGTTTCGAACCAGAACTTGACGCCGTCGCCATGAATCCACCTCCAGACGGCGTTGTATTGATCTTTTGAACTCCGGGTTGCACTAATGAAATGTCTCCCTCGCCGTCATAATTCTTCTTTTTACCTCCACAAAGAAAAATTGGAAATAGGGTAAGTGTCTGGAAATTATGGATGGTAGAAAATAGAAAAAACGTTATATTCGGAATCTAAAACTCTGATTCTATGCAAAAACAAAAAATAGAACAAAAAACTTGTATTTTCTGAATTTTTAAAGTTTTAATAGCATGCAAAAAGAAACGAAAACTTGAAAATCCGAAATCTAAAATGGACATCTGAAACTGGATTTTCTGAAACTGGATTTTCTGTTGTTTTCTCAAATATTCAAGTTTGTTATTATTTGGATTTTTAATGCAAAAACAGAAATTACGTTGTAACTGAATGTGAATGAGTTGCATTAATCTTGTTTTGAATTTTTTTGTTTTTTGAATCAGAAATTTTATTTTCAAAACATTTTATTTTTGAACCGCTTCAATCAGCTGGCTGGTGTGTCTTCGGCGCGAAATAGTGCAGTTTTTTCGAAAGATAATCTGTCATCTAGTGATTTATAAACTTTAAAAAAAAGGAAAATTCTAAAAATTCAAGAATCTTTTTTGAAAATTAGAAACCCCGAAATTTTTCGGTTTCAAAACCTTAATTCCACAAATTAGATTTTTAGAATTTCTAATAGGGTTCCGAAAAAAGCTCAGTCATGAGCTTAAGCTCACGTGAGCTCATCATGAAGCAGGCTCTTACGAGCCTTTTTCGACGCTACGTCAAAGCTCATATAGGCTCATTTGACGAAAATATTGATTTTGAAAAAAGCTCATCGAGGCTCATTTGACGTAATTATTGATTTTGATAAAAGCTCATCAAGGCTCATTTGCAAAAAAGCTCACGTCGACTCTTTTTCAAAAAAAAGGCTCACGGAAGCATAGTTGAAAAAATGAACTGGAAAAATGTTCACGTGGCAAAAATAATAATATTAGGGGTTTGCAAAAGTAATGCGCGTCAAGTTTGGTGTTTTGTATCTCACCCAAAACAAACGGTTTGTGTTCAATTTTTTTTTGTTTTAAAAAGCGCGTTCTTGGGCTTCACTTTGTTATATTTTCATGAAAAAATAATGTTCTCGAAATTCCGTTTGAATATGCCCCTCGGTGACTTGAACTTGTCGAGGCGAGTGTTGAAGGTGCGGCGCCGCTACCGACTGAGCCACGCGGGCAAAGAGAAAGCGGCCGCCCGATTGCATACATAAATAGATTAAAAAGATTTTTAAAAGTTTTTCAGAAATGCGCAAAACTAAATGAAAGTTTTGAAAATTGACCGAAAATTTAGAAATGTTTTGTCAGAAGTTTCTCTTAAATTCTCGAAAATTGACAATTTAAAAAATTCCAATGCAGTCCATCAGAAACACAATATTACAACATCCCAATCTTAATATTCTGAAACAGTTTTTTTTTCAGAAACATAAAGAATTTTCAAAATTTCGGATAAACAATTTGAAAAACAAATCAGAATTTTCGGAAAAATGTTTTTTTGTGGTTTCCAGTAGTTTTTTGTAAAAAAGTTTCCAAACTTTTGAAACAAATTTCCATGAATATTTAATCAAACTAAAAATCCAGTTTCAGAATTTCCATTTCGAAATTCGAATTTTCGAATTGTTTTGTTGTCATCATTCCTGTGTTTCAAAACCCCAAATGATAAAAGAAATCTCGGAAAATTTTTTAGTTTTAAAATTCTTAAAGGGGGACTCCGACCAAAAATTTTTATTGCATTAAAATGTTTCAAAAAATATGTATTTTCATAATATTATTGCGAAAAAATTCAAAAAAAATCCTAAATCCCCGAAAAACGGCGTTGAAAAAAAAAGGATTTGAATTCCCGCGCAGTGAGAAACCTAGGCCACGGCATCATAGCGTCTTTCTTACATGGAAATTTTTCCGGATTTTTACGGTGCTCATCCGGCAAATTAAAAATGTAAAAAACCACTGTCGGCCACTTGAAAAAACGGTTGTCAGGCGCTGTGGCCTAGGTTTCTCACTGCGCGGGAATTCAAATCCTCGTCCCTCTTAGCACCTTTTTTTTGAAAATTTTTCGCTTTTAACGGCATTTTTCGAGGATTTCGGATTTTTTTTTCGAATTTTTTTGCTATAATATTAGGAAAATAGACAATTGTTCAAACATTTTAATGCAATAAAAATTTTTGGTCGGAGTCCTCCTTTAAAACCAAAAAGTTTAAAACACTTGAAATCTGAACAAAAAAACGTTTTCAGCTTCAGAACATTTTACAAATCATGTTTTTGAAATCTCCGATTTATCTAAGCAATGGAAACCTCAAAAAATAAAATAACAAAATCTCTGAAAAATTGAAAATCCACAAAAATTTTTTTCACAATTTCCGAAAAATACCATTTTTTTAAAGCATCGCAAACCCCTGTTAAAAATTATGAAAATAGTATAAATTTGTTTAAAATTTGAAAACTTCCCAAAATTCTCAAAAAAATCGAGAAATCGAAAATTCTCAAAACTTTCTTTTCAAAATTTTGCTGAAGCTCGGCCTTACCAGAAAACTGATTTGAAAGAGAATAACTGCGATCATTTTGCATCAAAATCGACACGCCTGTTTCTGGTTTATTTACGAAAATTTATTCGAAAATGATTTGGAAATTTTCAAGAAGCGTCAAAATTACAAAACCCATCACGCTGAGACATCCCTAACAGGAAATAGTTTTTTGAACAACTTTAACCTAGTTTAGAGAACAGAAAAATTTTTGAAAAAAAAAATGAAATTCCCGGGTTCTGAATTCGGGGTCCGGAATTCGGGGTTCTGGAATCCGGGGTCCAGAATCCCGGTCCTGGGTCCTGGGTCCTGGGTCCTGGGTCCTGGGTCCTGGGTCCTGGGTCCTGGGTCCTGGGTCCTGGGTCCTGGGTCCTGGGTCCTGGGTCCTGGGTCCTGGGTCCTGGGTCCTGGGTCCTGGGTCCTGGGTCCTGGGTCCTGGGTCCTGGGTCCTGGGTCCTGGGTTCTGGGTCATATCAGAATCAAAATATTTCCAAAAAATATTTTATTGACTTCTCCAAAACTAAAACAGATCAATGAACTTCTTCTAGTAAACTGGACCCATTTGAAAAATCGTCACTTTTCATTCCAATTAAATCCTGCTCCATCCACTGTTTCATCGTTTCCAATTCTTCGATTTTTGCATTTTTACACAGGATACTGTACCATGGTTGTGTAGCCGAACCCAAATTGATTTTGATTTTGTGAAAATCCACTAAAAAGTACAGTACTGCCAAAGCAAGTGTCTCGTTGGATACTTGGGCGGTACGACCGATGAAACTGAAGTCGTGAAGGACGGCGAGGGCACTGTCAAGCACTGGAAACATGATATTTATCAATGGAGCGCGTTTTCAACTTTTGGATTTTTGAAAAAAATGTTTTTAATTTTCAAAACTTTTATATTTTCTAATTTTAACTTTTTCAATTTTCTGAAGTTCAGACACAGAAAATTCAATTTTTGAATTATTTTAATTTTCCAGAATTTTAAAGAATTTGAAATTTTAAAATTTTCAGATTTCTAGATTTTTCAGAATGTCCTGATTTTGGAAAATTTCGAAAAATCATCTTTGTTGTTTTTTTTCCAAAATTTTTCAATTTTTCAGATTGCCAGATTTTCAACTTTTTTCCAAATTTCGAAAAATTTATTTTTCCCAAATTCTCACTTCGAAACTGCTCAAACTCAACCGGATTCACCGCTCGAATGTAGTCCAAATAGAGTGCCAAAATCTACAAAACTACAGTAATCTCAATTACAGTAACCCATTGCTCACCCGCCACGCGTCATCATGATTTTTACATCGTGCCGATGCTGGAAATGCCAAATTTTCAGCCACTTCATGATAAATATCTGATCGTTTTTGGGATTTTTCTACAGTAGAAAATGCTAAACTTTGATTTTGAGTTTCCTTTTTTTTCGGAATTTCAGTGGGGTTTGCTCCATTGTTTTCCTTAAAAATTTGAATTTCGCAGTTTTTTTGGTGGCCGAGAAAATTTTCTAGGCCATAAAAATTTACATTTTCTTTTTTCCCACACGAAACTAGCAGCCAAACCATAGAAACGGACAGAATGTTGATTGAAATTAGAGCAAATAGAAACGGCATTTTTTAGATCGATTAAAAAATTTAAACTGAAATTTCTCATTTTTTTATTTTGCGAAAAGTTGAATTTAAACCCCCGCGCAAAATAAAATGTGTCATCTGCAAACACCCTCACGTCACACTGCGTACTCGTGCACTCAACTTTACGCGCAAAGTACCATTTTGGGAGCCAAAAATAAAAATGCCCCGTTCTCCGTGAGTTTTCAGCCTATTTTAGTGATTATTTTTGTAAAATATTGATTTTTAAGCAGCCGATATGATAGAGATCGTCGTGATCGAGATAGAGACCGCCATAGGGGTCAAAAAGATCATTCTAGTGTAAGAAAATGTTTTATTGAAAATAAAAATTATTTTTGGTTCAGGAGGTCGCCAGAATGAAGGAGAAGATGAGGAGCAATTTGGAGACTGCTAGAAATTCAGATTCCTCGAGTTTAGCGCCAAAACAGTCTGGAAAATTCGAGGAATTGAGTGCAGCGGAGCACTTGGCACGGACCAAAGCTATCGAGCAAATCGAGGAGGGCGGATTTCAAGTCGGCAGTTTTAGAAGTGGTTCAGCGGCTAAAAAAGTGGGAGTTTTGCGGAATTTTTTCAAAAATTTTGAAACTTTTAGATTCAAAAATCAACAAAAGAGACGTCCCACGATGCGGCGATTTTCGGTCCAGCTTGGAAGTCGGCAGCGCAGCGGAAAGCTATTGAAAAGGTATTTTTTCTGAAATTTAAGCCGGGAATTCGAAAAATCCAATTTCCAGAAAGAATCCGACGTCTCCACAATCAATCTACCCACCGTACCAGCTCCACCACTCAATTCGATGGCTCCAATGGTTCCGAGTCATGTAAATTTGAATTTCCCGCCTAAAAATTATAATTTCTCAATTTTCAGATGAATTCCGAACATTCAGCCGCCCGAAAAGCCGAGTGGAAAGTGTTCTGGACCGGCCTTCGCCAGCAATTAATTGCTGATAATCACTAATTATTTTTTATATTTTTTACCTCTCTTCCTTTACGTGTCAAATTTGAATTTTTGAATTTTTTCTCTGTATAAATTGCTTTCTATAACTCGATGAGTGACCGAATATGATGAAAAAGTGTATATTTTGCAAAAAAAAAATCTAAAATTGAAAAAAAGAAATTAAAGGCGCATCGAGGAAATTTGTCAATGGACTCTCGCCACGAAAACGGTACGGAGTGGAAATTTGGAATTTTGTTTTGGGGAATCTCCGCAAATTTCCGATGCTTTTCTGGGTGTTTCGGACCTGAAAACCTATAAAAATAGTGTTAAAATTGAAAAATAAAGTGTACAAGACCTATTTTGTGCCTTCATCTCAGAATTTTTTCTAAACTTGCTCATTTATAGTTTCAAATACGGGCTTTCTTGTGGTGTATTCGGTTTTCTGCACAAATTTCTAAAAGCCGAGAAAAGTCCATCTGAAAATATGCTGTTTTTTTGGTCTCCTCCTTCCCTTTCACTTTTCCCCCTTTCCTCTATACATTCTCCACTGTGGAAGAAACGAGCAACAGTGGGCGAGTGGATAGTGGGGACGAATAGTAATCACAAGTTTGGGGTTCGATTCCGTCACTGTCCATTTTCTTGTTTCTTTTTTTTTCTTTGATGTTGGAGGAATGTTTTGAACTTTTCGAAAATCAAAGCTATGTTTGCTCTATTATTTCAGTAGGAAAAAAGCTCGAAAAAGTATTAATTTCTGAAAAATTCTTGAAGCACTGCTGAAAAGCCTTATCTACTCAAAATGTCAGTCGAAATTTCCCTATTTGATCATATTGGTTGCGGAACTGTTATAAATCAGTCAAGAAGTATGTAAATCTATGTTTTCACAATATTTGAGTGCTATTGGGTGATTTTCGAAGGACTACGATTCATTGGAGTTTTGGAAGAAATCACTTATTTCGGATTTCAAAACGGATATAGGCTACAGAATCTTGTGAAAAGACTCATTTTATCATTTTTATGCGTTTAGAATTCATTTTAGCACATTTGAACAATTTTCGAAAAATTGAAAATTTCGCAAAGGGGGTACCCATGGCAAAAAATTTTTTCAAAAAATTGTTTTTTTGAAAAATGAGGAAACTTTGTCAGATTGTAGAGAAACCTTTAAAGTTGCGATTGACACTCAAACAAAAAACTCCCATTAACCCTTTCAAAAACTCACTCCAAAAGTGAGAAATTAATACTGAAATCACTTAAACAGTCCATAACTCGACTTCTAGAAATTTGTGCAGAAAACCGAATACACCACGAGAAAGCCCGTATTTGAAACTATAAATGAGCAAATTTAGAAAAAATTCTGAGATGAAGGCTAAACATGGTTCCCTTGTGAAACCATTTTTTCACTTTTTTTTTTTTCAAAAATTCACCTAAAGGACCTATTTCCTGAAAACGTTATTTGTAAAAGTTCGAAAAAATAATTAACGGCGCATCAAGAAAATATGTCAGTGGGCTCTCGCCACGAAAACGGAGGGAACTGTAGTTGAAACTTCGAAACTGGTTTTTCGAAAATTTCGCAATTTCTTGAGCTGTTTCCGCGGGAATTCAGGCTGTTTCTGGTCGGAAACTGATGGAAAACTGAAAAAAAGGCCTAAGAAATCTATTTTAAGCATGAATAATCATAAAATTTCTGAAAATTAGGTCGAAAAAACGAATTTTTAAGTAGGACCCATTAATTTCGTTTTCTCCCTCTTTTTTATCCAAAATTCACCTAGATCCGTTCATCGAAACACCTAAAAAGCACCCAAAAAGTTCACGCGAAAAATAATTAAAAACGTGAAAAAATGATGACAAATCCCGGAAAAAGCTGGGTTGGTGACCCCGTGGCACGTGGCACACACTGCCACGTCGCAAGACCGCCCATGGGTGACCCATTGACCTCCAAAGGCAGCCAGTTGAATTCATTTGACCAGTCTGGACTATCCAGCAATCACAAACCGTCCAAATCGTGAGTTTCTCTGAAATTTTGTGGTTTTTTTGAGAATTTTCGGCTCGGAATTCGGTCAAATTTCCGATTTTTTAGCTGAAAAATAGCCAATAAGCCATGCAAAACAGCTAAAACCAGAAGCAAAAATAGTCAGTAGCGCTGTTTTTGCTGTTTTTCCTAAAAATTTTTTCGAACATTTCCGAAATTTCTGATTTTTTTTTTCAGGGATTTTTGGCTGGAAATTGGCTAGAAAGCCTTCGGCGCCACTGTTTTCTCGAAAACTTTCGAAAAACAAGAAAACATTTTGAGCTAAAAAACAACATTTGCATCATTTTTTAAAAATCGATTTTTGCAGAATCAACAAGATGAACACCTCAAACATCGACTCGCTTTCCGACGGCATTCAACACCTTCGTCTCGCCGAGAAGTTCTCTCCCCTTATGACGCCACCACCATCGGAAACCAAGTCTCTCAAATCGACATCCAACCACTCGGAGCACGAGAAACACGACAAGAACGCCTACATTGAGTCGTTGAAGGAGGAGCGTGAGCAGCTCTCTCACTGTTCCGACGGCTTCAATCACGTCTTCACTCTTATCGATAAGGAGATCAAGAGAATCGGAGGAGGCGATCAGCACGAAGCAGCGGTTCCTGGAGCACCTGCTACGCTCTCGGAGATCATCATGGTGCCAGTGGAGCAGTATCCGACTTACAACTTTGTCGGACGCATCTTGGGACCACGTGGAACGACTGCCAAGCAGCTCGAGTCTACTACCGGATGCCGTGTAACGATTTTGGGTCGTAACAAGAAGGATAAGGATGGCAACACGTCGTCTGTCGACGTTTCTTCTCCACCGGACAATGGTCCACTGAGAGTGGAGGTTTCGGTGCCAGCTGATGCTCCAGACGCTGTTCGTCGCATGGAAACTGGAGTTTCTGTCGTCAAGGCGCTTCTGATTCCACCGGTAAGAATATGTTTCAGGGAAAATAGTCGAAAAATCGATAAAAAAGTAGCCTCAAACTACGCAGAACATTTTTTCTGAAAAAGTGGGCGGAGCTTAAATTGCCAGCTATACAGGGATTTTTGAATTTGGCGCCAAAAACCGCAATTCGATAATGAAAATTTGGACATCTATTGTCGGAATAAAAAAAGTGAGACTCGGTGTTTGCGTACTTTGATTCCCGCCTCCCCCCACCGACGCTCCGCCCATCGCTTTGCAAGTGCGGCGTGGTGTTTTAGCGCCACTTGGGAGATCATCGAATTTAATGAGATTTTC